GTACTTATTCCACTGCAATCTCCTGCTGCATTCTTGTTGAAGCTTCCCTACCATAGGACATTGATCCATATTTCTAGCTTAAGAGGAGCAGCTTCAGTGATGAAACTTCCTTTCACCTTTCAATCCAAGTGCCCCTGCATTGTTCCCAGCAGATGGCAGTGGTAATATTAATACAGAGCTCAAATGGCTATGGGTTTTGTGCTTTAACTGGCCTCCAACCTATCTAGCTTGCATTTAACAGGTAGTGGTTGAATGAAAGAATGAGGAGCCTTTTTTTTTTTTTTTCTCATAGCCATTTCCCCATTTTCCATAGCCTCCAAAATGCAGGCTGTCCAAGAACTTTGACCACAGAAACATCAGCCCCACCAACGAGGGAGGAGGCAGTAGGGAGAGATAGGGACCTCATTAGCAGGCTATCAACAAGCTTTTAAGAATGGAAGGGAAACCATTGGGAAGCACAGGATATGTGAGTTCTTGGCTTTCTGTCTATAAAATGAAACAAGCAGATTGTGCAGCTTGGGACTAACAGCCTTGGGTTTCAACTTAGATCCTTTATTAGGTTGTCTGGGTCCGTTTTAACACCAAGCCAAGTAGTCCAAAGTTGGGAATTCAAGCCCTGATTAGATATAAAACCATTGCCAATACTGAGCTTTGTTAGCTTCTGCCAGCTGGTTAACAGGACAATGGTCCAGAGAGAAAATAAATAGGAGAGTAAGGGACTATTTCAACAGACTGCCTAAAACATCCCTAAACATACATCCTATTAAGTGGAGCATATGGGAAGTGGAGCCATCTTCCCATTTAAAAAAAAAAAAAAAAAAAGACATAGACTTTCCTCATTGTGAAAAGGACCCAACCACTTATTTCTTTTTTGTGGTATGTGCGGTGGGGTGAGCATTGAACTCAGGGCCTTGCACATGCTAGGTAAGCCATCTACTGCTGAGCTATATCCCTAGCCATATTATTTCATTTATCATTCATTATGCCCATAAATAGAAATCTGAGAACCAAAGCTTGCTGGATACCTTTGAGTGTCAGTGCATTACACTTAGAACTTTTGCACACCCAGCTCTTGACCATGCTCATTATTGCCTTTTAGTCTTCTTCAGGCCAAGGTCTGGTCAGCATCAACATGTGGGTTGGAGATCTTTTTATCTTAGGTCCCACAATTTGTTCATATGACACAGAAAGGCAGTGACTTTATTTTGAATTTTGTTTGAGAAAATATGTCTAGTTTTTTTAGGATTTGATCCACCTTCTGCCTACTTATCAGTTTCAGGTTTACATCCAGAGAACCAGGCAAAGAATTCTCAGACCTTGTTTTATCCTTGGTTTTCCTAGGTTTATCCTCAAAATTCTTTATCCTCAAGATTCCCGCTTTTCTGTTGTTTTTGTTTTGCTTTGTTTTTAAAGATTAATGGGGGTGAGAGAGATGGCTATCCTTGAACTATTCCATTTGTTTTTGTTCTGGCACCCTGGCCTTTGCCAAAACTGGGGAAAATTATACTTTCTACTTAGATCTCTTGTCACTTACATATGAGAGACTTCTGTCTTTCTTGCTTTCATTATCTTTCTTCTTATTATTTTTCTTTTTTTTTTGCAGGGGGTGGGGGAGTGTTAGTGATGCTGCTAGATTTTAAGCTCTGTAAAACTGTTTTGTTTAGGCATGGGCCTGGCCTATAGTAAGAGATGGATGAATGAATGAATGAAATGAATGAATGGGGCATTATTTTATCAATGATTTAGGTTTAGAAAATAAACTATTGAGACTTAACATCAAATTCTAATCTCTGCTAGATTAAATTCTAATCTAATCTAACCTAGCCTTGAGACTAGCGTGATTCCCAATTTTCACTGATGGGTATTAGAGAACCTCAGAAAGGATCCCTAACTTCTAGTTCTAGTCTTAAGATATGCTGGATAAGCTATGAGATGTCAGCTTTTTAAAATAAATGGATTTTTTTTGTTGTTGTATTGGGGATCAAACTCTGGGCCGTGCACATGCTAGGCAAGTATTCTACCACTAAACTATACCCCAGCCCTTTTTATTTTTTATCTTGAAACATTGTCACCAGGCTAGCCTCAAACTTGCAAACCTCATGGCTCAGCTTCCTGAGTAACTGAGACTACAGGTGTGTGCCACCACACCTGGCAAGTAAATGGAATCTTAATTATCATTTGTTCCATTCTTAGTAACTACAAAAGGTGCCAAGATCAAAGTTTTGTGACACTGAAGTCCTCAAAGATCTAAAACAGAAATAGAAGATGCATGGTATATATGCCATGACATTTCCTTCCAGTGCTAGAGATGTCACTAATGATCATGACACTCTTCCCATTGGTGTGGAAGGGCAGCTACTACCAACAAATGAGTTGGCACTCTAGATGAAACCTATCATCCCTCTTTTAGAAGAAACAAGGGTATTATAAGTTGAAGAACTTGTCTGGACTTGTCTCCTCAAGTTGAGCTGAAACTCTACCAGGAACCTCATACCCTTTATTGCTCTTCACTGTTCCCAAACCCCCATAGAACTCAGAGGTGATGTTTTCTACAGCATGGGTCTGCCAGACAGAGCGGGTGTAAGATTAGTCATGACTCCAAGCCAGGCAAGATAATTAAGAAAAGCTAAATTTATATTAAATTATCATAAAGTCCTAAAATACTGAACATAGTGGTTAAATAACTCCAGAAAGTCCAATCTCTCCAGTGAGTAACGTTAAAACCATTACACATGAGCGCAGGACAATCACTTCCATTAGTTTAGGACAGAGAGATTTTGCTTTTTTACAGAGTAATCAGTGCTCAAATAGATATTTCCTCAAATATGTCCTTCTACATTCTGAACAGCCCAAGTGCAATAAGAACCTTCCCCTGTCCAATCAAGAAAAGACCATTTTTCTACTTTCTCCTCCTTCCCAACCAAGAATCTGAAGACTCAAATGCTTCTTCTTTTACTTCCTGGGAAATGTCCCCATTTCCTCCCAGAAGTGGCACCTTACCTTTTTCACTTGATGCACTGGAAAAGCCTTCTTGGCCTGGCCTGGCTGTTTGTATAGGTTTGGACCTGGGGCTGGCTACTGAGAGCATGGCTGAAGGCGCAGCATCTGTCTCTAGAGTTCGTTTGTTTTTAAGAACTGACTAGAAAAGATTTAATCTTGTCCTCTTTTGACCCACAGTTTGGCCCCTCATTTCTCAATACTAGTTACCATAAGAGATGTTTCAAATCAAGAAACTTCTCCTAAAACCCCTTCCTTCCAATTTCAGCCCCATCATCCTCTCCTGCTGCTTTTAATTCCTAGGGAGAACAGGCCTGGGTCTGCCCTGGGCTGGGAGGGCTTCATTTGTTTCTTTCTACCATCCTACTATATGTTCACCCCTTTGCATCTTCATTTAGTCCTCCTCGGTGCAGGACTTTGGAGATTGCTTGTGCCACAAGGCTAAGTCAGAAAAAAAGCAAACCAAGCCTCTCAAAAAGTAAAGAACTAGGGGGAAATTGCAGGGCAGCAAAAACTCAATTCCTTGATACAAGTCTGAGACACATACCCTTGATGCAGATGAGCATGAACCAAGTGGTGGTATTTCAGCATGGAAAGTAAGTCACAGCTGAGAAGAGTTCTGGAATAGGAACCACACCACCTCAGAGTCTCAGGCTCTCTGTCCATGAACTCAGATATCTGAGCACTTGAGAAGGAACACAGGAGGTTCAATCCCGTGATATTTTTCTCTTTAGCCCCTGGGTATCCCATGTCTCTAATTCTCTTCCTGATCATTTATGAAAACTTCCAGTCCTTTGAAAGACTACCATTATAGGATATCTTCCTGCAGAATCCCAGAGAATTGGGGAGAGTGGCAGGACACTGAAATTTAGGTGGGATGCTATATTTGGTCTAGGCAGAGCTTAGACATTTTAGAAACCCAGCACCTAGGTCCAACATTCACGAAGCCACTGGCTCACAACCTGATTACTTAAAAGACTTAGGAAAGGGATTGGCCAGTGGCAGCACCAGGAGAGAATTCCTAACAGCCAGTGTCCATGTGATGAGGACCCCCCAGTCATCTAAGGCAGAAAAGACTCCAGACATTCCAGCAGGAGGAAGAACGGCTTGAGCCACATCCATGTCTCACCAGTATCTGTAGCTGACAAAGCAGTGACTCCTAGGGCAAGAATGATGTCCACTGCCAGCAATGGACAAGACACCCAAGCCCAAGTATCCCCAAAGCTTTTTCATATTACCAACCCCCAAAGGTGGAGGTTTCCCAGGATGCCCAGACCAGCTGGGCTGATTCTTCCTTCTTCTTCTAGTCTCTATCCATCTCTCTTTACCCATGACCCCCTGCCCCAGCCCCTGGTGGGCAAGTTCTCAGAGAAGCCGTCATGCTAGCTGTGATGGGCGAGAGGACAGTCTTGCATCATCAGCTCCATTGGTGCTGTGGGGCAGTCACTGAGGGTACCAGGGGAAAGGGAGGTGGAGCTCTACCCTGCAAGGAATTGTTACTGAGCCAAGTTTCAGGGGGCCCAGGACGGAGTGCAAGAGGTGAGGTTCATGGTAAAATCCAGGTCTAAATTCTTGAGAAGTGCCCTCATTTCTTGTAGCCAGGTAGTTATGGACTCAGGTGGAAAACAGCTCCAGTGGAGGACTTAGGAGAAGTTATGGGGTGGGAGGAGGATGAGCACACAGGAAGGAGGCCTGCTGTACAAGCAAGCACAAGACTGGAAGTCCATTAGAGGATACTGATAGGCAGGCAGGGAAGAGAACCCAGGCATTTAGACCTGGCTCTCCGAGGAGAGCTTGCGTTCATGTTTCCAGCCAGTGTCTGGCAGAGAGCCCCGTCTTTCTGGAGTGGCTGCAGTATGGACGCTGCTACACTCAGACTGCTCTTCCTGCAGTAGCTGCTCTGTCTCCGTGTCATCCAGAGAGCCAGAGCTGGCCTGGATGGACACTGTGTCTGTCTTCATGCACACATGATCCCGCAGAAGGCCCCCCCGGGAGCTGCGCAGCTGCTTGAGGTCATCCCACTCAGCATCATCCCCAGAGAGGAGGCAGATTCCTTCTACTATCTTGATTTTCTCCTTGGTGTAGTTGTGGTCAGGCCCACCCTAGGTGGAGAGGAGGGACACATGGTTAGTCATTTGGCTCTCTAAAGAGGATCTCTTTGTAGACAGGAAGTAAATGAGGTAAAAAAGGGCATGAAGAGCAGAAAACTCCACAAACTAATGTGATCACAGCAAATATATGAAGCCTCACCTAAGAAGAGGGGCAGCTATGATGATTATTACTTATCATACAGGGTGGAGAATGATGGCTTCCGGTCCTGCATCAGCCACTCACTGGATATATCACCTTGGGCAAATTAATTAACATCTCTAAAACTCATTTTCCACATCTGCAGTGTGGGGAGAATAACAGTATCTGCACCTCACAAGCAATTACTGTGAGGGTTAAATGAAGTGATACACAAAATGCAATTGTTAGGATGCTGGACTAAGTCGCACTAAAAACATGTTAGCTACTATTACATTTTTACTGTGGTTTATTAATGGGACATCATGCTGATATAAATAATCAAAAGTAATTGGCAAAAGCAATTCAACATGCATTTATTCAGGATTTTAACTACTTTATATATATGCTAATTTGTTCTTAATGATCTCTTCTTAATTTTGCTAAGGAGAAAACTTGAGAGGTACAATAGGAGGGCTCTAGAAAATCATCATATTTTCATTGATGAGGCCCCATAACCTTATAACCTTTCCGGGTAGGTTACTGTGGGCTGCTCCCATGAGCCCTGGGTTCATTCCAGGGATAGCCTTGAATTCTGCTCCGGCTTCGTCCTTTATGGATTCCTCAAAGGGTAGCCTTTTTTCTTGGTTTCTGAGGATACCAATCAACATGCTCCCACTGCCAGGAGTAAATGTGCCACAGCTTGGGTTCTGGTATATTGCTGTGTTCAGATTTTTGCAACCATTGCTTTCTATTACTAACAATTCAATTCCATAGATAGTTATTAAGCCCCTACATTAAATAGGATATTGTATTAGATGCTTTAATGATGGTCCCTATCCTCTGGAAGTGACAGTTCCCTCAGTCATGCAAAGGGATACAGATAGCACACAAGCACACATGGAGACACCCATTCACCCAGCACACCCTCCAAGCTGAAATTAGTATTAAGAGTTCTCATTACAGACACAATGGGTAAGTCAGGGAGAGGAGTAGCATATGATACTAGTAATTCTGGGGACAGCATTCCCTCCTACACACACACAGCAACAGGTACCTGAAATCAAGAGGAAATCAGAAGAGAAAGGGTGAAAGGCTATCTGAGGGGTGAAAGAGCTGCTGAGGAAGAAGCAGACAATAGAAGAATCACATCATTTTTATTTTCTTGTTTCTTTCTTTTTTGGGGGGTGGGGATCGGTGCTGGGGATGGAACTAAGCAAACTCTTTACTACTGAGCTCTGTACCTAGCCCCATTTTTCATTTCTAACCAATGGCCCTCATTGTGCTTCTTTTCTGAAGCATCCATCACTCCATGAACCCAAGAATATTCAGTAATCTTTCTTTCAGCCATATTAACTGGGGAGGAGTCTATCATTCCCAAAACTGCAAGCTGTTCTTACAGGTTCTCCTTTGTAACTTTTGTAACGGAAGATTTTCTAATATGGGAATTCATGGATCCAGAAAGCACAAGATTTCTTTATAAAGTGTATTCATTATGCCTGAGAGCCCTACAGGTATGAGAGCAGGTTTGGCCCAGAGACAAGCCAGAGAAATAGGCTGATTAGGGTCTTTATAAGGGATACTTTCTTTCTTGGTACAAAGGATTGAATCCAGCAGTGCTTAACCACTGAGACACATCCCCAGCCCTTTTATTTTAATTTTGAGACAACGTCTCATTAAGTTGCTTAGTTAGGGCTTCACTGAGTTGCTGAGGCTAGCTTTGAACTTGTGATCCTCCTGCCTCAGCCTTCTAAGCCACTGGGATTATAGGCATGTGCCACTACATCCAGCATAAGGAATAATTTCTGATGAAGGCTACAGGATTTTAGAAGAAAACACAGGTTATATCAGACTAGGAAAAACAATATCCCAGATTACTGCAGATCCCTTGTGGAAAGGGGCTATTTTTATTGACTAAATATTCAGCAAATAATTTTCCATTGAAGTAACATAGGAATTTTTTTAAGTACATAAATCTTTAGAATTCTAGAGAAATCTCTGAAGACCCTGTGATAAGAGGAAAGATAATGAAAAACTAGCCCTTCCCAACCCTAGATTTGACCACCACCTTGGAACAGAGGTTAGAAAAGGGAGAGTTTAAGAGCTCTTGGGCTTTCTGGGCATTGTCCAGGAGAGCTCCCTTGTTTCATAGGGACACAGCCTCACTGCAGGGGAGTGACACTATAGGAAGAAAAGAACCTATGATTCCTAAAATAGCTCTCCTGGCAGGGAGATAATATATTCATTGTTTTCCGACCTAAATCTTCCAAGATATCTTTCTAATCTTGTTCTAGAATCCCTCAAAGATTCTAGATCTCTCCAGAAATCCAAATTACATCTAGTTCTTCTGTTACTGTAACTTTCAAAATGGTAGAAGGAGCCACCTAGTATTCCCTTACTAATCCATTCAGGCAACTGGAGCACAATTCCTCCTCCCCCCAGAAAAGAATTTGAATATAAATTTCCATTTTTACCTCTTTCTTATAGCACAGTTGATTGTACATGGCTGGTTTTGGGATTGCTTCAATTTTTACTTCCTGAGTAGAAGTTCGGTAAGAAGGGTTGCTGTAGGTGAGGTTCCCCATTCCAGGATCAGTGAACTTGGATTTTTTGTGTCTTTAGGAGAAAAAATGAGAATTTAGTTCATATTTTTATGGAGATAAAACTTGGGGAAGTTGTAGCCTATGTGTGGGAGGCAGCCTCTACAGGTTCTGGTGATCCCTGCCTCCTGGTAATCACCCCTTCTGAATCCTCTCCTGTTGAATATAGGCTGGACCTGGTGACTTGCTTCTAATGAAAAGATTATGCAAAAGTGATGGAGACTACATTAGGTTACAAAGAAACTAGCTCCCTTCTTGGGTTTGTATTTCCCCTCTCCATTGCTCTCTCTTGCTCTTGCTCTGAGGGGAACAACCTACCGTGGTGTAAATTGTTCTATAGAAAGATCCAAAAGGCAAGGGACTAATGAAGGAGGCCTCCAACCAACAGCCAATGAAGAACTGAATCCTGCCAACAATCATATGGATGTTCTTGGGAGGGAATCCTTCCACAGTCAAATCCTCAGATGAGAACACAACCCTCGTTGATACCTGGATTGAGATCTTGAGGCAGAAGCACCTAAGCCATATCCACATTTTTGATCCACACAAACTGTGAGACCATAAATGGCTGTCATTTTAAGTCACTCAGTTCTGTACGCAGAAATGGGGATAACTAATACCTGAACTTTAGAATCAGGACAGTTGTCAGATTCAATCCCACCTCTGTTACTTACTACCTGGGATCTTGGTAGACATAATCTAAACTTTCTGAGCCTCAGATCCTCATCTATAAAGTGAGGAATAATACCTGTGTTATAAAGTTGGGACATTGATACATATCCATAAAATGGTAAGTGGTTTTATTATTACTAGGAGCAGCAGTAAAATCCAAACATTTTTGCTATGGTCTGTATTAAAGCTTTTGGGGGAAAATATAAAGAAAGAAACACATAAGATCTTTTTTTTTAAATATATTTTTAGTTGTCAATGGACCTTTATTTTTTTTAAATTTTTATGCAGTGCTGAGAATCAAACCCAGTGCCTCACACATGCTAAGCAAGTGCTCTACCACTGAACTACAACCCCAGCCCTGCATATAAGATCTTAAACTGAAAATGATATATTCTACTTTCCTAAGATGATCTGAGCACCACTATATCAACCAATTTTGTAGTAAAGAATTATGTTTGAGTAGATGGAAATGGTTTCCAATTTCAATGGTTTGAGGTAAGGTGGGTTATGAAAAGCATAGATGCTAGAGTTAGTTCACTTTGCCTCTTACTGTGTGACCTTGGGTAACACAGTAAGCATCTTAGCATCTTAGCCTATAATGAAAATCCCAAGGGTAGATTTGCTGTGGTCATTAAATGAGGAAACTGCATAAGCTATGACCAGGGAAGAAGAGTAAGTATTCAGGTTTCCATCCTTTCCTTCTGCTTAGGGACCCAACCTTGAAACAAAGCTGCTCAGAGCTAGATTTAGTGAATTGTGGAGCTTCAGAAGATCCCAGATATGCTAATGAGGACCAAAGAGCACATGGCCCTGTAGCAAAGTTTAGATTACCTGTATAGCATCAGAGCCGCAATCACCACCAAAATCAGCAGAATACTGAGGAGTCCACCAATGGCATAACTGATATGAAGTCCTTCACCTAGGAAGAACAGAGACACACTAGGCTGGGATCACTGATAATCATCCTGCTGGTGCTGGTGCAAAGGGTGGGAAGATAAAGGGTTGGGTCCATATGTTTTTGTTTTGTTTTGTTTTTGAGGCAGGATCTTGCTATGTTGCCCAGGTTGGCTCCAAATTCCTAGGCTCAAATGATCCTCCTGCCTCAGCCTCCCAAGTAACTATAATGAAACGTGCGCACACTGCTCCTGGCTCGAAGGGCTTTTGTATGTGTGGAATCCCATACCATATGAGAATACTGAGGGCCTCGTTCTCAGATGAGAGCCATAAGAGGTGGGTGAGAAGGCTGAAAAGAAAACTATAATTCAGCCAGCATCTCCAAACTCAGTTCTACCTCTTGTTAGTTACATGACTTAAAGGCAAGATGTTTAATGTCTAAGCCTATGTTTTCTCATTACTTAAATATGAATCCTAAATTGCTCATGGGGCTGGTGGAGATTGAATGATAGTGTGTACTCTTAGAGTTAGCCTCGCCTGATACATGGTTTCACTTTCCACAGTTTCAGTTACCAACAGGTAACCACAGCCCAAAAATATTACTAGAGTCAATGAGAATGTATGATATTTTGGGGAGAGAAAGAGAGATAACACAATCACATAACATTTATTATAGTATGTTTTATAATTATCTTATTATTAGTTACCTGTCAATCTTTTACTGTGCCTAATTTATCATAGGCATGTATGTATAAGAAAAAACTTAGTATATGTGGGGTTCAGTACTACTCAAGGTTTCAGACATCCACTGGTGGTCCGGGAATGTATTCCCCCATGGAAAAGGAGGGCTACTGTATTCACACTTACATATATATGGCATATATATGGCTTACCAAATGCCTGGCATATGGAAAGCACACTATAAGTGCTTTAATTATAATCTATAATCTACTCTATGAAGAGTTCATCAACCTCAAGAGAGGCCCCATGAAGGTTATGGAACATACCAGTAGACACTTAGATTCCTTAGATCTTCTCTGCCAAAACAGTTGGGTACTCAGGGCTTACCTGGAACAGCAGGTATGGCCTGATTGGAATGTGCACAGAGGCCTAGCCGGGCATCATTTTCAGAGCATCTGTGGGGCAGAGAAAACTGAACATGAGGATTATTTTTATGCAAATAAAATCTCTCCTTTTTCCAGGAAAGTGGAGAGAGGTATGAGAAGATAACAGGTGGGAGATATAGAAGCATAGAGAGATAGGAGGAGGAAATAGAGAAATCGGTGTGACTCACTATTTTCCAGCCAGTGGATAAACTATGTTTAAATGTGTTTTCCAGTTTGAGAGTGAACTGGAAATCTGCAGAAAGAGTAATAAGGAGAGCAATTCTAGGCTTTCTTAAACTACCAGGATGAGTGGGAAGCAGCTGCTAGCCAGGCAGATCTGATTGGTTACGGATTATCACAAGATCCACATATTTCAAGGTTTAAAATATATTTACCCCCCCCCCCCGACACACACACATATTCGTTTCCCCTTTGTTCTGTCATAAGGGAAAATACAAAACATCCAGAGGGAGCACTCAGATAACAAATCTAAAATGCTCAGAAGGTAACTGCTTTGTGGGGTATTATTAGCAGCCAACTAAAGGCATCTCCTTCAGGCCTGGAGAAAAGCTATTTGCAAGAACATCTGAAGCCAAGAGGCATTGAATCTTCAAATGGTACTCCTACATTAAGGAAAGGTCTGAGGAGAGGTCAGAAATGTTCCAAATAAACCTAGGGGCTGGTGGGATAGATCAGGGGCAGAGTGCTTGCCTAGCATGGGTGAGGTCCTGGGGTTCAATCCCCAGCACTTAAAAACAAAACCAAAAGGACCAAAGAAAATCCAAGATTAATAATGACTGACAGAACCTCAAAGATAGTGAGAAAGGTATATGTTTATCCTCAGGCATTTGCTTTTCATTACAAACTATACTACAAAGGGAGAGAGGAGCATACAATATATGGGCTTGATCATGTGCAAATCTTAAAACTTGGGAGACATTAAGTTTAGAGTACTTATTTGGAACTAGTATGCTTCTGCTTTCAGAATTGAAATTAAGTGTCAATTACATTTTAAGCTATAGTTGATATAAAATAAAGACATCAGAATATTTCAGTGAAGAAAAAATTGTTCTAATTAGAAAAATGTCTGAAAAGATAGATATCAAATTATGAAGAGTAATTCCACACAGGTGTACAGGGACTTATTTCTCTATTCCAATCTGTTTTTCCAGACTTTTAAAAAATTTTTTCATTTATTTTTTTAAATTTATTTTATTTTATTTATTCTAATTAGTTTATATATGACAGGAGAATGCAATTCAATTCATACTACACAAATAGAGCACAATTTTTTATGTTTTTGGTTGAACACAAAGTAGAGTCACACCATTCGTGTTTTCATACATGTACTTAGGGTAATGATGTCCATCTCATTCCACTGTCTTTCCTACCCCTATGCTCCCCCTTCCCTTCCCTCCCCTCAGGCTTTTTAAAAATAAATAAATAAAAATGCTGAAGAATTTCTCTAGATTGAGTGTAACATCCTATCACATCAATTTTAAGATGTGCCTTGTTTCCTATATTCTAACATCTCTGAAGTAAGAAATGGGACTTAGTGGTATCTAATAATTGCTGCTGCTCATGTTTTCAGTCTAATTTCTCAAATCAGAATGAATTATATAACTGATAGCACTTTCAATTTAATGAAATATTTTATACTTGATGTTAGCTCTGTGTATAGTTATACTTGCTTATTTAATAATGGTGTGTATGGTGTACACAAATGCATATATGTTTGAGAGCTAGGGTCATTATAAGCTAAGGCCACCACACCTCTGGGAAAATTTTTTGTTCCAAGTCATAAAGCTACACAGCTCAGAGATCACTGTACAATGATATCAAATACTAAACGTGACACAAGAGCAAGTGTCACAGAGACAGAGGAGGAAGGAGGAATGCATGTGCAAGACTCTTCCCAAGTGATTTCTCTTGAAAGCTGTTCTTAAAGCTTCTTGCCCTCAGAGCTACAAAGGGAATCATTTGCAAAATCTACAAGTCTAAATATTGTCCTAAATAGTGGAGACTGGTGGTTAATGTGATCTTCCTCCCATCTTCTGGTATTATGGTCTAATTCTGCTGGCATAATGGTCTAATACTAGTAAGTCTTTGTGACATGAATCAAAGGGCCCTCAATCCTGTACTAACCCTACTTACCTGCCTTCCACTTCCTCCAGAGATATACGGGTCCTGGTGGTAGAAGAATGCAAGGTGGTGGGCAGGGTGTTAGGCAGCACCGGGCTCTTTTCACTCATGCTGGTGGCCTTGGGAGCTAGGGGCACCAGACCAGGTACTGGAGAGAAAAGAGAATGAGAGCAGGCCACTGGAGTCCAAAGCCTCTACAGATGGTCTTAAGAGTAGCAGCTGGAAAACTTGATAAAGCAATTTTTTAGCTGCCCTAATCTCAGGTACCCTCACTTGATTCTATAAATAAAAAGGATTTGGATTCAAAATTAATAGTTCTGGATGGCCCATAAAGGTCAGGAAGATAGAGTAAAGCACAGCCTATCATGGCAGAGATCTAGAATCAAGAGACCTGGATTATCTTCTAGTAAATGCCAGAGGTCAGACAAACTCAGCTCTGAATGATTCCAAAGCCTAAACACATTGCCAGCAGTCTTTCCACTCCATAATCTTTGGAAGGTGGATTCTACCACCCAGAAGGACAAAGTTGAGGCTGGTGATCCCCTGCCCTTCCAGGGGCTCTACTGTTCCAGGAGCCATTCAATACACTCACCAGGGGAGCAGGGGCGGCTATCAGGCTCATCAGGACAGGCACACACAAAGTCTGAGGTTCTGGCAAAGCAGAGGTGGGTACAACCACCATTGTTCACGCCACAGGCATTGGTCCCTGGAGGGAAAGCAGATGAGTGTCTGGTCTAGGACAGAATTGGGTCTCCCAATTTAACACTTCTCAAAAAGTAGGATTACTCCACTCCCGGGAACAATAGGGCAAGAAAGGAATAATAGTCACAGGGGTTGAAAAGATCTAAGAGCTTCAAATGTGAGCTAAAAGGCTCTCCAGGGCTCCTAATTATCTTGGTTCACTAACAGCTAATCCCACTGATGGTGAGGAAGCAGGCTCAGTACCCAAGGGCCCACCTGTCTGTCGTTGAGGGGAAACCACGATGATATCCATGAGTCCCTCCACATTTGCCAACACTGTCTCCTTGTTGCGGCCTGAGTACTTGTCAACACGTTGGATGGACTTGGTCTGCCAGTCTGTCCAGTAGATCCACCTGTCCTGCTACTCAATATGGAACCCAAAAGAAGAAATATCATTCAGTAGTCAGACCTCAGTGCAGCTTTTGTGCCTCAGCATGTGCTACACCTTCTGCTGAAATGCCCTCTTCCTCTCTCATCCACTAGGTCAACTTCTGTGCGTCCCCAGATATGGCATGTCCAGGAAATCCCCTCCAATCCACACAGTTCTCCAAACTGTTCTGTACCTTGCAGTCACTTCCACATGTGAGTTTTTATCCTCTTATGGTAATTAGTTTATGTGTCTGCCTGTCCCACCTGACTAAGTCCTTCAAGGACAAAAATGTGCCTCAAATCTCTAGTCTGTAGCATCCACACTCAGTCCTCAGTCAGTTGTGTGAATTGCTCCCTGCTCAGCAAACAGGAGTAGACTTGGAGGTTCACATAGATCCCTTTTCTCTTGGGCCTTTTGCTCAAAGCCCTGACCCAGATCCTCTGCTTACTTCCTCTGCAGACTCTTTCTAATGCACTGATGGTGAACTTCTCAACCACGAGTGGGGAAGGACAAAGAAGGTGTTTTTTTCTCCCACTCAGCAGTCTAACAGCAGAAACTCCAGGGGAAGTTTGTAGATTGAAAAACCATTATTAGTATTAGCCTATCATTAAGTAGCCAAAATCTTTTCGGCTGATAGAATATAATACAAAATACAGGGCTGGGGGTGGGGTGTAGTTGAGTGGCAGAGCATGCCTGAGGTCCTGGGTTCAATTCCCAGGAAAGGAAGGAAGGAAGGAAGAATACAAGGAGATGATGTTTGTCAAAAAGGAAAAATATTTTAAATGACTAAGAATCCCTATTTAGCCTAAGACTGGTAGATCTTCTTTCTTTCTCCAAATTATCTTACAGTGTTACAATTCTCAAAAATGGCAGCTAAAAATAAACAAGATGATTAGAGATAATATGCAGTGTTTACCTTGTGCCAGGCACTGTGCTAATGTCCTGTGTATATATTAGGGGGATACTATTATTAAATTGATTTTTTTTTAGGTAACTGAAACTCAGAGAGATTCAGTTTCTTGCTCAAAGTTGCACTGTTTAATAATACAAACAGGAAACCGAACTCAGGTATTTGGCTCATTGAAGGTGCACAGTACACACTGACTGGCTGGAGGCTTCCAAACTGTTTTTTTTTTTTTTGGTGTGTGTGTGTGCGTGTGTGTTTTTTAAGAAAGAGAAAAATTTTTAATATTTATTTTTTAGTTTTCGGTGGACACAACATCTTTATTTTATTTGTATGTGGTGCTGAGGATCGAACCCAGCGCCCCGCGCATGCCAGGCAAGCACACTACCGCTTGAGCCACATCCCCAATCCCCAACTCTGTTTTTTAACCACTACATAAGAGCTGCCTGAGCTCCAATGCTGGGACCACAATGTTAGGCTCAATGGTGTAGCTTATTAAAATGCATATTCCTGGGCCCAATCCTTTGTCCTTTGTGAGGACAAAGCAGATTCTCTATAGCCAGGACCCATGAGCCTGCATTTTAACAAGCTTCCCAGCTGATTCAGGAATAGCAAGGCACTTGGAGGCTTAGAACCCCAGGGAAACACCCAGTCAAGGAGGTTTAGTTACCTCTCTCCTGAGCCAGTACCTGTGTGAGGGCAAAGGGGTGGGACACATGGCTGACCAAGACCTGCCGCAGCTTCCCATTGAGGTCAGCGCTCTCAATCCTGTCCAAATGTGCATCTACCCAGTAGATCCTGTGAAGAAGAAAGAACGGTGGCTGCTCCAAATGCTTCCCCAGGAGCCCAGCTCTTCTCTCTCAGGACCTGTCTTTGTCCTCCAGAGCTGAACTGGCAGGTGCTGCCAGCCATCAAGAAGTATCTGTGATGAGAGACTACTCTAAGTCCCAAAGCCAAAGAGGGAAGTTGGTGATTCATATGTAGGGAGGCCAGGGCTGTTCTTAGGAGGCACAGAAAGTCTAGTGACTTCAGAGGGGCCTCTGCCAGCCTCATCTTCGGCAACTTGATCACCCTTTGATCTCTACCCAAAAATATTAGGCCAAATTCTTACAAATGGTCTTCAAGAAGAGAGTTCAGTCAACATGGCCCTTACCAGGTTAAAGTAAGAGGTCACTCTGCCAACTCTCCAGGCGACCTTGATCCCTTTCCTTTCTTTAGGAAGGGGAACAGACTGCTTCAGAGCCTTTTTCCCCTCTCCTTCCTGCCCTCCAGCATTTTTAAAAATCTAGACCAGGTGTTGCAAATTCCAGTGTCCACAGGATTGGATGAGTAACAAATACAATAGACAGGGAAGTGGGTCTTATGGTCCAGGCAGAGGACACACTATGTTAAAAGCCCTCAAAAACACAAGAACCAGGCAGACACAAGCCATCTGAGGGGCTGGCTTTAGTAGCCCCTGCTCTAAGATATGTTCCCTCTTCTTACTGCTTCCTCTTCCCACCCTCCAGGGGCTTTCCATCTTTTCATTTTCCCTACTTCAGTCTCCACCCAATTTCCAGGAGGCTATTTGGAGCAGGATTCCTACCTGCGGGTATCATAGTCCAAGGTAAGGCCATTGGGCCAACCCAGGTCTGTGTTGATGAGTACCTTCCGGTCGGAACCATCCAGATTTGCCCGTTCAATCTTGGCAATGTGGCCCCAGTCTGTCCAGAAGAGGTACCTGAGACACAATAGTGCCATTGTTACCAAGGCATAGTCTGCCAGAAGCTGACAGACTATGGGGACACACCAAGACCACTAAAATATAGGCACTCTTCACGGGCCTCTTACCAGACCCTTTCTTCCCTGGATCTCTTTTCTATTGGCCATAAACTTACCCCTTCCTGGGGAAAACAGCAATGGCCCGGGGCTCATCCAGGCTGTTGTTGATTAGAACTTTGCGGCAGGAGCCATCCAGCCTTGATGCCTCGATGGTATTTCGGCCTGTATCTGTCCAGTACAGGTTCCTGGCCACCCAGTCCACTGCCAGCCCATCGGTAGTCTTCAGCCCACGCCCAATCACTGTCTCCATGTTGTTGCCATTCAGGTCTGCTCGCCTTGAGGAGAGCCCAGGGTTGGATGAGTGACCAGAATGACCAAGAATAACTGAAACTCCTTTTATCCATAATTGGACCCCCACTAGACTGTAAGCTCCACAGAGACAGAGACCAAGTATCTACTAGCACATTCCTCAGCACCCAGCATGATAGCTGCTCAATAAAACATCTGCAGAATGAATGAATGAATGAATGAATGAATGAATGAATTCTTAGGAGGACAGATTATTTCCTGACAACTGGAAACATCCGGACCTTAGGGTTCACCTCTTGCCAGAGGACAGATTAGTCATCCATCATATGTCTTTGAGAGAAGACAATGATCAGTAGGAGATAATTATAAGGCAGATTTGTCAAAACCTGCCAAAGCCCTACACGAGAGAACTCAACTTCAGGGTGAAGAATGTATTATAATCACCTGGGGGACTTCGTTCTTGCATAAGCCCACCTGCCCACAGCATGAGATTCCAATACACACGCAGGGAGACAAAAGCTGAGAATCTCAGCCATGGTAAACTGTTTGTTTGTTTGTTTGTTTGTTTCTTATACTTTTTGCTGTAAAGATTGGAGATTTTACTGGGGATTGAACCCAGGGATACTCTACCACTGAGCCACATCCCCATACCTTTCTGTTTTTATTTTGAGATAGGGTCTTGGGGCTGGGGATGTGGCTCAAGCGGTAGCACGCTCGCCTGGCATGCGTGCGGCCCGGGTTCGATCCTCAGCACCACACACAGACAAAGATGTTGTGTCCGCCAAATACTAAAAAATAAATAAATAAATAAATAATATATATATATATATATATATATATATATATATATATAGAGAGAGAGAGAGAGAGAGAGAGAGAGAGAGAGATAGGGTCTTGCTAAGTTCCTTAGACTGGCTTCATACTTGTGATCCTTCTACCTCAGCCTCCAGAGTCCCTGGAATTATAGGCATGTGCCACCACACCTGGCTTTGTGTGTGTGTGTGTGGTATTAGGCCTAGAGCCCAGAGGCACTCCTCTAGTAAGCTACATCCCCAGTCCTTTTCATTTTTTGAGACAGGATCTTGCTAAATTATAAATTACACAGGCTGGCCTTGAACTTGCAATCTGCCTTGGCCTCCTGAAAGCTGAGATTACAAGCACATTCCCAGCTGTTAAATCACTAGCACTAATAGCAGGGCATCATAAAATATAAAAATATAAAATAAAAATATGAAAATAAAATCCAAAATATTAAAAACAACAACTTTGCAACCACAGTAAGCTTTGACAGTTGGCCAGGGCTCCTATACTGCAATACCCATACTAGCTATTTATGTGGCCCACTTATCAATGAGTCCTAGATGTTCTTGAAGCTCCCTCAGGGCCCAGTGGTAGGTAGAACTTTATCTGTTTTGTGTGTGTGTATGTATTGTTGTTTATTTATTTTACATATTTCTACATAGTAATCTTCATTTTCACTTATTGTTTGCGTAGGGTCCTTCTACATTACTCTGTCTGGCCTCAAACTTGCAACCCTCTTACCTCAGTCTCCTGAGTGTCTGAGATTTATATAATCATTAAACAAAAGTTTAGAACTTTGCACTAAATGATAACACTATAAAATGAACAAGTCAGAATTAGAACTGACTATCCAAATTGCCAAATCATTCAGTCCATTTAGACGTTAACACAGAATGTCACTTCACCCCTGGGGATCAGAAGCAGGTCTGTGTCCCCTGAAGGTTTCAGTTACTCATACCTGATAACATCCAGAAACACATCTGTGTAATACACCTTCCCATCTACACTGTCATAGTCCAGGGAGATGACGTTGTTGAGCTCAGGAACAGGGACATGTACATCTGTGTGGTCGCTGGTGTCCAGTGAGATACGCCGGATAGAGCCTCGGCTGGAGAAGAGCAGGTAGGTCTCTGGAGATGGGTCACAGGTCTTCCCATCGTCCTTCAGCTGGATGCCTGTGGGACAGGCACAGGAGAAGCCAGAAGGCCGAGGCAAGCAGAGATGAGAGCATCCGCCATTTCTCGAACCACACTTGTTAAAACCTGGTAAGAGAAGCACAAGCTTTCACACCCAGCCTGGAACACTGCCCAACTCTTATAAAGATTCCAGTTTTTTTTTTGTGGCTGACTTCTTGCTGTTCTATGTGACAGGATTTGGTGTCTGGCAGGGCAGGGGTGAGACAGATATAGAAGGAGTGTCTCCAGGAGTCCTTTAAAGGTGACAGCATCATGCAGTTGTAGTACCAGCCATACCCAGAGGGAAATGAGCCTGTTCCGGGAGGGGGCTTAGGCAGATCATTGTCTCTCTGACTATAAAGGAGTTCTGTGCTCTGAATATAGCTCTGCTGTTGAGATAGCCCCAGAAATCCAGAGGCTCTGACCCAAGCTCCAGGGGTCTTCTCACCCAGTGCCTGCGTCCGATCCACAGCCTGGATGTCCATGAGGCCTGGCAGATTGGACCTCACCAGGATGACATTGCTGCCAGTACCCTTGTCAGCACGGTGGATGCTACGGGTCTGCCAATCAGTCCAGTAGACATAGGAGCCAAGAAGGGTGAGGCCATACGGGTGCTGCACTGGTGATACCAATGTGTGCCGATTGGCACCATTTAGGTCAGCAACCTCAATTCGCTGCAGAGAGGAAGAGGGTGGGAGGTGGCTGTCAGTCAACTGGGAACCCTCAGTGCAGATGCTGGACAGGCCTTTTCCATCTTCCGAGGCTTCTGTGAAGCACCAGGGAAGAGTTCTCACCTCAGTGTGGGCATCAGCCCACAGCAGTTGGGAGCTGGCCTTGTCCACAGTCAGTCCATTAGGCCATCCTAGGTTGTTGTTGATGAGCACCGTTCGATCTGAGCCATCCATTCCAGACCGCTCTAACTTGGCATTCTCCCCCCAGTCTGTCCAGTACATGAACCTAAATGAGGAAGAATAATAGCTGATTATTCTGGCAGCCACTGTGTACCATGAAGACTTTATGTCAGACCCTTTGCAAAGTATTTCACAGGCATTATCTCACTTAACCCTCACAGGGCCACCAAGTATGTATCCCTTTTTTTACAGGTAAGGAAGTTGAGGATCAGAGAGGTTAAGTACTAGATTCAAAGTGACACAGCTAATACTTGATGAAAGAATATAAATCCTAGCCTTCCAACTCCAAGGCTCAGACTTATAACCTCTATATTGAGCTGGCACCCTGAAGGAGCCACAGAGGAGTGGAACAGTCCCAGAGAGGCCAGTCTACATTGACCTTCAGAGTTCACAATGTTCCTGTGAGGCATGCCTGCTCTCCAGCTCTCCACTGCCCACCTCACCCTGTCCATAGCCCCAGCTGAGCCAGCCCATACAGCTACCCAGAGCAAGAGTCAGCTCTCACCCCATCTCATGGTATAGAACAATGGCCCGGGGACTGTCAAGGTTCTGCCACACCAACACTTTCCGCATGGACCCATCCAGGTTGCCCACTTCAATCCTGTTTGTTCCTGTGTCTGTCCAGTACACTTTCCGGCCAATGGCATCCACCGCGAGCCCATCTGTGGTCTGCAGCCCTGCAGGAAGTCAGAATATCACACTGGCTCCTGCTTTAAGACAGATGGGATATTTCTCCAGCTCTGTAGCCAGACAGGTGGTCCCTGAGCTGGAAGGAAGGCCCACCTGTGGTGATGATGTCCTCGTGCTGTGAGCCATCCAGACTGGCACGGCTAATCCGGTGCAGTGTGCTGTCAGACCAGTACACTTTTCCTGGAAAGGGAAGGCTTGGCTCAACCCAGGCCCCACCCTCCCCCAATGGCTCACGCAGCTGATCCATGCCCTGAGACACCAGTGCCTCTCAGAGACCCCCACACTCCCTAGCAGAGGAAATCAAGGGAAACAAAGAAATATCCTAACAGAATAACTCTTAGAAGAGATGGAGAAAGGAGGGCCCCAAACTGTGACTCCACAATCAGAGAGGAAGTGCTGCAGAGATAGGAGCATGGGCTATGGGGAGGGGGCAGCTGGGCAGCCCCAGGCTCTTAGCAGGATGCAAAGGAGGTGGAAAGGAAGGACAGTAAGAAAGGGCAGGGTCAGAAGACCAGGTGGGAAGGAAGGGCCACACAGACCTTCCTGGGGGTCTACTCCAATGGCAATGGTGTTCTTCATGGTAATGTTGATTGGCACCACCACGTCGGCAAAATAAGGGATGTCTAGGGAGACCATGCGTACATCTATCCTCCTGGCAAAGATGAGGAAACTGTTCATGCCTGCTCAAATGGAAAGAGGAGAGAGGACAATCATTCAGAAAAACCAACAAGAGGATCTGGAGTCAGACAAACTGAAGCTCATGCCCTGACCCTGCTAGTTTCTAGTTGTACGATCCTAGGCAAGTTTTGGAATTATTTAAGCCTTGGTTTTCTGATATATATAACCGGGATAATAACAGGGTGGTTGTAAAGATTAAGAGATCATGTTCACAAAGAACTGAGCATTAGGTCTCACATGTATTTGTAAATGATATCTCTTTACTAATATCATGTAGAAGCAGCTCTCTTTGAAGTACCCTTTATCATAAAGCTTAAGAAAGGAAGTAAACAGACCCCAGAGGACCTTATAATTTGTATGCTTATAACTGATGCACACAAATTCCTTGGGAGTTTCGAATTCAAATGAAGCCCACCATGCAGCATTCCTAGGGGAAAACCCTGACTTCCGACATCTCAGTAGCCAGGTCCTGCTTCTGGGACCACCCCCTTATGGTTGTCACATAGGTCATGCATGCAAAAGTGGCATATCTAAAGGAGTTAGGGAGGATATCATTATATCATAGATATGATACTTGTTTGTATTTATTATACCTGAGCAGAAGGAAGTCAAGTGTCTTGTTCTAACCAAATCAGCATGTTACAAATTTACAACAGATGCAAGGAAAGAGTCTTGAGAGAGGAACATCTTTTTCTAAAATGCATGTATGTAAGAAGCAGTGGGACTCTGTCTATGTATTCCCCTGGATCTCCCTCCTCTTTTAAAAGTTCTGTCTCTCCCCTAAGCTTCTAGAAGTACCAGGATTTAGACCACATTGGAGCATATCTGCAGGGAAGAAAGCCATTTTCCATCCCAGATGTTATGGTTTTACTCACCTGGTGAACAGGTCTTGCCATCAGGAAGCAGGTTGATGCCTGTAGGGCAGGTACAGCTGAAGCCACTTGGACTTGGGGACCGGAGACATAGGTGGCTGCAGCCTCCATTCTCCATAGCACATGGTGTGATCACTGGATAGGGAGGAGGGAGGTCAGTGGGGCTGGCCAGGGTATAATAGGGCTGAGGAGAAGTCATGGCAGACTAAGGGCTGCTCACCTGGAGGCCGCCTGCGGTGGAAGACATGGATGTCCATGAGATTCTCCAGGTTCTCCTGCAGGGTCTCCCGGTCCAGCCCAGTCAACCGGTCGGCACTCTGTATACTCTTGGTCTGCCAGTCAGTCCAATAGATGCGCTCTCCATAGAGAGTCAGCCCAAAAGGATGGGGGAGCTGGCTTCCAATCAGCACCTGCCAGGAACCCAGCACTTGTGTCATCCCCAACAAGGTCTGACATTACAGAGCAGCAGTCAAGAGGTGGGCATGGAGTCAAATGCAGCTCTGCCACTACCATTTACTGTGTGATCTTGACTAAGAGAGAGTTACATAATCTCTCTGCACCTTGATCTACCAATCTGTGATAACAACCATGACCATGCATGGCTCTAATTATCTTGTGATGATTTTAAAAGATCAAGTATTGCTTATATAATCAAAGGAAAAATAGAGACTTTACAGTGAACACCCCCTTAACCATGCAATAAAATAGACATCAGGATAATGGGACAAGCCTACATCTGTGCCTACTGGTGAGACACATACAGAACTTAGGACATGACTCCACTAAATGTAGTATTCCTGCCCCAAATGCATAATCTGAATCCAATCAGAAGGAAACATCAGACAAACTCAATCAAGGAGTATTCTGCAAAATAATTGGCTTTTACACTTTAAAAATGCAAAGAATGGGTTGGAGATATACTTTAATGATCGTGATCTTGCCTAAAATGCAAAAGGCCCTAAATTCAATCCCCAGTACCACAAAGAAAGAAAGAAAGAAAGAGGGGCTGGGATTGTAGCTTGGTGGTAGAGTGCTTGCCTAGCATGTATGAGGCACTGGATTAAATTCTCAACACCACATATAAATAAAAATCCACTGACAACTAAAAAATATTAAAAAAAAAAAAAAAGCAGGCAAGCAAGCAGAGGTCTAAAAAGACAGAGCATGGTGGTGCCTGTAATCTGTAATACCAGAAGCTCAGGAGGCTGAGGTAAGATTGTAAGTTCAAGGCCAGCCTCAGCAACTTAGTGAGGTCCTAAGTAACTCAAAATAAAATATAAAATACTGTCTCTAAATAAAATACAAAAAAGGTCTGGGGATGTGGTTCAATGGTTAAGCAACCCTGGTTTCAGTCCCAGTTTAAAAAAAAAAAAGGCTAAGGAAGTATTCCAAAATTAGAGATTAAAGAGACAAGATGCTAAATACTAAATACAATAAGTGATCCTGGATTGGATTCCGGAGGGAAAAAAAGGAGGGGAAAAAAATGAACATTATTGGGAAATTGATAGTAAAACTGAACATGGATTATGGAGTATACAGCAATATTAATGTTAAATTTCCCAATTTTGATAATTTTACCATGGCTATTATCAAAATTAATATATATTAATATTATATTAATGTTAAATTTCCCAATTTTGATAATTTTACCATGGCTATGTAACACATAGTCCTTGTTCTTAGGAAATATGCACTGGGATATTTTGGGATCAAAAGCAGGATATCTTCAATTTAATCACAGATGATTCAGAAAAAAGTGCATGCATGCAAGTGAAAGAAAATAAGAGTGTAAGAAATGTGGCAAAATTTGGTTATTTATATATTTTTTTATTATTCTTGCCATTTTTCTGAAGGTCAGGAATTATAACAAAATAAATGATATCAAAAACCAAACAGAGATCAATCATGGGCCTGGTGTGCAACTGGTGACTAATTAGTGTTAGCTATGATGGGTATTAGGAAGGCCTGTGCATTTATACCCCCAGCCCACAAAACACACAAATCCCTAGTTTGCTTTCACCATCAACCAGCAGTCCCCACCCCTACTCCAGTTCTGGAGGGTGGCCACAGCTTCAGAGAAACAGCACATGCTCCACGCTCATCTCATTACCTCAAGGTCCCCCTACCTAGCTCCTTTGAGCTGCCAGCCAGGGAGTCTGTCCTGGAGGCTGTTGGGGCTGTGGAAAGAGGCCTTACTGACACCCTTACCTTCCTCTTGCTGCCATCCAGTCCAGCAAATTCAATTGTCTTCATGCCAGCATCAGCCCAGTACAGCCGCTGGGACCCATAGTCAATAGCTAATCCATTGGGCCAGGTCAGATTAGAAGAGATGATGACTTGGCGGTTGGAGGCATCCATGCCAGCTCGTTCAATCTTGGGACTTGCACCCCAGTCAGTCCAATACATGTACCTGGGCATAGGCAAGGCATGTCTTACAAGCTTTCTAGTTAATATCCAGGGGGAGGCTAGGGCTATAGCTCAGTAGTAGAGTGCCTGTTGGCACATGTGAGGCACTGGGTTCAATCCTCAGCACCACATAAAAATAAATATACTGTGTCCAGCTACAACTAAAAAAATATTAAAAAAAAAAATCCACTGGGAATCCAGGATATTCAGGATTTTAGGGGTTTCTGTCAACAATAGCTGCCCCAGCCTCCTGCCTCACTGCCCAGCCCAGTTCTGGGATCAGAGCTGTCCCCAGAGGTCTTTGTATCTTCTATCACTACTGAAAGGCAGAGCCCCATGGCTCAAGAGTATACAGCAAATGAGGCCTACTCGGGAATAAAGAAAAGGGACGGGAGGAGAGGGATTAAGAAACACTTTCTTGATTGGGTGGGCTAAGTAATTATGGTATATAATTTTAACCAAATTCTATATAACCATGAAGAACAAGATAGAACTATATACTTAAAAGGAAATATATACAAAATATATAGCTCAACCAAGTAAAAAACAAACAAACAAAAATACCCAAGTCCAAAAACAGTATGCCATATTTAAAAAACCAAAACCACCACCACCGCCAAGTATTTATATACATTTAGAAGAAAATCTGGAAAAAATATCCCACACTGTTAACAGTGGTTGTTGCTACTCAGTGAGATGATAGAGAATTTTCACTCTCTATGATTTAATTTTCCTTGACAACAAGTTACTTTTGTAAGCAAACAAAGTATTTTTTTTATAATTACAAAAAATAAAGAAAGTTTTTAAAGTTTCCTTGTCCAAGGCTGGGGTTGTAGCTCAGGTGGTAGAGTGCTTGCCTAGCACATGTGAGGCACTGAGTTTGATCCTCAGCACTGCATAAAAGTAAAGTAAAGGTATTGTGTCCATCTACTATAAAAAATATTAAAAAAAAAAACAAACCGTTTCCTTGTCCAGACAAGAGACAAGGTTGTCACTGCCTTCTGTGGTTTCTACAGCTGCCCTTGCATCTTTTTTTTTTTTTTTAAAGAGAGAGAGAGAGAGAGGAGAAAGAGAGGATTTTAAAATATTTTTTTATTTTTTAGTTTTTGGCAACATCTTTGTTTGTATGTGGTGCTGAGAATCGAACCCGGGCAGCACGCATGCCAGGCGAGCGCGCTACCGGTTGAGCCACATCCCCAGCCCCATCTTTTTTTTTTTTTAATATTTATTTTTTAGAAGTAGTTGGACATAATACCTTTATTTTATTCATTTTTATGTGGTGCTAAGGATCAAACCCAGGGCCTCGCACGTGCTAGATGAGTGCTCTACCACTGAGCCATAACCTCAGCCCCTACCCTTGCATCTTTGATATGCCCAAAATCTGGCTTCTCTCCCTAATCAACAGACTCCCCTCCAGTACTCAGATCTTGGGGAGAATGGAGCTCCTAAGTGGCAGCACTCACCCGCCCATGGGTTCTACCACGATGTCTCGAGGACGATCAAGGTTCTCCCAGATGAGTACTGTCCTCATGCTGCCATCTGTGTTGGCTACTTCAATCCGGTCTGTACCTACCAAGAAGTAAGGGCAAAGATATGAACTCTAGTCTTGTTCATTCACCTTATCCTCCAATCCTAGCAGACAGCAGGCATGCAAGAGATGCTCAATAAATATTTTGTGATAGATGCACAAAACATGTTTAGTGAATTAAACTGTGATAAGAAATTCAAGAAAGTGATCAGTTTCATTTCTTAGAAAAGCAAGACTTCAAGTTGAAATGGATTCTGCTGTCATGTATAACTAAGTAGAACAAATTTTTAAAAATTAAAAAAAAAAAAGAAAACCAAGACTTCTAAACCTAGGCAACCAACTCTGTCTTATAATTTGAGGCAATGATTCTCCAGCTTTAGTATGCCTAAGAATTAGGAAAGCTTGTTAAATTACAGAATCTAATCTAATTTAATCTAATTCCTGAATCCAATCCCCAAAGATTCTGATTCAGTAAGTATGGGGTGAGGCCCCAGAATACACATGTCTAACAACTTCCTAAGGGATGCTGATGCTGCTGGTCCAGGGACCACAGTTTGAGTAGCATTGGTTTAAGGCATTCCTTTTGCCTCTCATACCCACCTGAAATGGTTTTATCCAGACAATGATGAAAAGAAAACTACAGGGCACTGGTTCATCATCTGAAATGCTTTAAAACATTTCCAAGCATCAATTACATCATGCATATAGTTGCCATTTGCCTAACAAATGTCTAACCTCAGATGTGAGCTTCTGGCTTTAACTCTATAGCAGCCCTATCCCTTCTGCCTACCAAGGACTTCAGGTCAAGAGAGACACAGTCCAGGAGAGGCACTGGGCTCTTTTACCTGAGTCCAAGGTTTTATATAAGAGGAGCCCCAGGCAGCCAGACCATAGGTCCCCTTTTACATACCTGCATCTGTCCAATATAGCTTGTTGGTGACCCAATCAATGGCCAGGCCTGCAGGGCTCTCCAAACTGGTATCCACTACCACCTATGCAGGAAGCAAAATTGTGTCGCCAATGGTATTTTCACTCCAGCTCTAGAGCCCAAACTCCACAAATTCTCAAGGTATGGGAAGCCCTTACCCTGGAAAGGATGGATTCTTCCCCATAATTTCTGCCTTCCCTGAGAGCCTGGGTCCATGCTGGGACCTACCTCCTGTCCCGTTCCATCCCACTTAGCCCTGCTGATGGTATCAGTGCTGACATCTGTCCAGTACACATGGTCATCCCGGGAGTCCCAGTCAAGGGCCACAGCACTGCGCACGTCAGCCAGTGGGATGACATCGTCGGAAAGGTCCTCTGTGTCAAAGCTGATCCGACGGATGTCCATCCTTCGGGCAAAAAGCAGGAACTTGTCAAGACCTGATCAAAGGCCGAGAGGGGTCTTCTTTTAATGCTCTAAATCCAGTAACAGTGACAGACACAGACGCTCACCTGCGTGACACCTGGTCAATCACACTTCCTGGGATCTGGTGCCCTTTGCCCCCTACTCTTCACACTACAGGTCCCCTTGAGCACTGGGCAGAATCAGTCTTAGAATCCAATGGAAACAGACTCTACCCAGGGCCCAGAAGTACATGTTGTTTACGTGTCTGTTAGCTTCGTCTAAGTTTTTCTCTCTTCTGACTTTGCCAGGTCTCTTCCAGTGCCTGGCTGGATTACTGCCAACAGCCGGCTCTGCTGCTCTGCTTCCACTGTTTTGGGGGCTCTGATTCTCCTCTATCATCTAGATCCTTCCTCTAGCTGTTCTCATCACAGTTTTAGCCAATATTCACTGAGCACCTTCCTTCCCAGGCATTGAGCTTAATGCTCAGGAAAGATTTGAGGCATATTTTTGTCCTTGAAGGACGTAATCAGGTGAGACAGGCAGACACACCAACCCTTTGTGGTACATGTTATTCTTGTTCTCATTTTCTAGATGAGCATCTCTTCAGTTAACCGAGACCAAGTAACTTGCCTAGAATCTCACAGCAACAGACAGCAGAGCAGGGCTCAGTTCCACTCCAGAGGAAGAGCTGCCCACTGTTCTCTACAGTGTTTTCCCAGCAGACTCTTCTCCATCTTCTACCCTTACTCTGGTCTGTCTGAATATTTTCCCAGTACAATCATCCCTTGGTATCTGCAGGACATTGGTTCCAAGACACCACAGACACAAAAATTTGCAAGTCCCTTTTATAACATGGCATTGTATTTGTATATACCTGCACATATCCTTCCATATACTTTAGTTTCAGGTTTTTTTGTTTGTTTGGTTTTGGTTTTTGTTGTTGGTACTTGGGATTGAACCCAGGGGCACTTTACCACGAGCTCCATTCCCAGCCCTTTTTATTTTTATTGTTTTAAATTTTGAGACAGGGTCTTGCTAAGTTGCTTAGGGCCTCCCTAAGTTACTGTGGGTAGACTCAAAATTGCAATCTTCCTGCCTTAGCCTCCTGAGTTGCTGGGATGACAGGTGTGTACCACCATGCCTGGCTCTTTCATATACTTTAAATCATCTCTAGATAACTTAAAATACCTAATTCAATATTTTTACTATTGATTTGATGCTGGAGATTCCAAATGCAAAACATATTCTATGTTAATAGTTGTCACACTTATTGTTTAAGGAAGAATGATAAAAAGTCTGTACAGACACAATTTATACATATATAATATGTACCTGCATGTATATACATATATACACACACACATATATGTATACACACACATATACATTAAATACATATATTCAAAGTTGGTTGAATCTGCAATTGTGGAACCCACAGATTCTCAACTATATACTTTTCTGCCCATAAAAGACTTCCTCCCTAATTTTACCATCTAAGGCCTGGGTTCAACCCCCAACACTGCAAAAAAAGAAAAAAGAAAAAAAGAACACCCCCCACCAAAAAAAAAACTAAAACCCAACTTTACCATCTTTTTTCTTCCAAGCTCTGGGAAACCCTCAAAGAAAAGTGTTTGGGGAAGCATTTTGCTTCTTACTAAGATAACAGAGGAAGAGATGAGCAAGAAGAATGCAAGGGCAAAATGCATTGCACAACACTAGGTTCTCAATCAGTGTGTCTGAAATGAAACCTCTGAGTGTTCTAATTTTGGCTCCCTGATCTAAACACTGAAAGAAAGTTTCAAAACTTTCTTTTGGGGATAAGGCTAAAAATAAAGAGTCTGGAAATCATTCCCCTGCTTTCTAGAAGAGCCTAAAACCCTCTTTCTGCCTAGAGATGAGGCATCCTACCTGGTGAAATTAAATATAAGCCTGGTTGCAGGTGTTCATACTCGACTGGGCGGTGTCACTGAGCCTTTGGCAACTACTGCTGGGCCCTCAGTCCTCAGTTTTGATATAGGATCCCCCAGCCTCTTAAGTTCTTCCTCTCCAGTGGCTATTGAGGAGACTGGCTCTTCCTCTGACAGGATATCCCTCCAACACATGTCTTTTTCCTTCCACCCACCCGCACAAGGCACTTCCTCTGAGGCTGGTGTTCCAGACCCACTTACTCTGGGCACAGGCATGGCTGCTGATTTTGCGGAAGCCAGTAGGGCAGGCACAGGTGTAGTTCTGGGCACTGGGAAGACACAGGTGGGTGCAGCCTCCATTGTTGTCTCCACAGCGGTTTTTCCCTGTTCAAAGAACCCAGAGCAAAGGGTCCCGTTAAGACTAACCATTTCCAAACATACCCCCATCAGGCCAGAGAGTAGGCTGTAAACTCCCCAGAGGGAAGAATTATGTCTTATTGCTTTTTATATCTGCCCCAGCAGCTAGCACAGTGAGTACCTGACACAGAGGAGAGGCCCTGTAAATGTTTGCATGAATTAAATGGAACACTGAAGCCAATGAGTCTGGTGAGTTTTGATGTTGTACTACCCTAAGTGTCCAGCAGAGGGAGGAATGAGCCCGTGTTAATGCCAGCCCTGAATGTCCCCGCCTCCTCCCATCAGAAAAACCAGCAAAAATTGCAAATTACAAGAAATTTCTCAGAGGCTCCAGCAGCCACATCATCCATGAGGCTATTTTGCCTCACCTGTTGTGAAGGTTTTTACCTGCAGGCTGGCGTTGTGGGTGTAAGGTATGAATGTCCATAGGGAAATGCAGCTTGTTGCGAATGATTTCTTGGTTCTTCCCAGTAAACTTATTAGCACTATTGATGCTCTTGGTGTGCCAGTCTGTCCAATACAGGCTGTCTTCAAACACCGTGATGGCGAAGGGATGAGGGAGGCCTGGGGAAAGTCCAGAAAGACCTCAGTCCAGACATGGTCTTGCATGGCCCTGGGCCCAAGCCTGGCAACTGTACAAATCTCACCCTCTGCCAAGGCTCCGGGAGGCAGGGATAGGGGAAAGCATGAGAAATGAAGGAGAGTGGGGAAGGGTCTCACCCTGGCTAATGACAGCCTTGCGATGACTCCCATCCAGGTTGGCCCTCTCAATGACGTGGTGTTTAGCATCTACCCAGTACATGCGGCGCCCAGCATAGTCAATGGTGAGGCCATTGGGCCAGAAAAGATGGGTATCTGCAATGATGCGACGTCCAGAGCCATCCATGCTGGAGGCCTCAATGCGAGGGGTGTTGCCCCAGTCTGTCCAGTAAATGGTACTGGGAAGAAGAGAAGAAATTGAGAGGTGGGCAGCAGAGAATGGATCGGTAGTAAACAGGTTAATAATCAGACAGAGGCTTCTAGCTATTTAACCCAGGGACTCCAGCTGTTTGTCCAGAGAGTATTTTTTAAATATTCTAATTTAAATGTTTCTAGACAAAAAAAAAAAAAAGACAGTTCTATCTTAGGCTGAGATATACCAGTGATAGGTCAATGTAAGTCAAAGTCCCAAAGCTTATGGAATTGACAATATAGTGTAATATCAGTTAGGACAGGTACTTTCATCTTTCTCACAGTTTCTTTCACTGCCGTTGTATTTTATATACATCTACATGCCCAGTTTGTTTCTTTTTTTCTTTTTCTTTACATTTTAGAAGGCACTGGTGATTTTTTTCTTTCTTTTTTTGGTACTGGGGATTCAACTCAGGAGTGCTTAACTACTAAGTCACATCCCCAGTCTTTTTATATTTTATTTAGAGACAGCGTCTCAATAAGTTGCTTAAGGCCTTGCTAAATTGCTGAGGCTGGCTTTGAACTTGCAATCCTCCTATCTCAGCCTCCTGAACCACTGGGATTACAGGCATGCACCACGGCACCCGGCCCTTGGCACTGATGGTAGAACCCAGAACCTCATACATACTATAGGCAAGTGCTCTACCAACTGAGCTACCTGGTTTTATTTGATTTGATTAATTAATTAATTGGAGTTGAATCCAGGATGTTTTACCACTGAGCTATATCCCCAGCCCTTTTAATTTTTAAATTTTAATTCAGGGTCTCACTAACCTTGCTAAGTTGCTAAGTTTGCCCTTGAACTTGCAATCCTCCTGTCTCAGCCTCCTGATTCACTGGGATTACAAGTGTGTACCACCACTTAATACTGGTTTATTTTTAATTTTTATTTATTAATTTTTTTTAGTTGTTGATAGACCTTTATTTTATTTATTTATATGCAGTGCTGAGAATCAACCCAGTGCCTCACTCATGCCAGGCAAGTGCGCTACCACTGAGCCATAGCCCCTTATTTTTTTTTTTTTGAGACAGAGCTTACTAAATTGTCCAGGAAGTCCTCAAACTTGTGAACCATCTGATTTAACCTCCTGAGTAGCTCGGAATAGCTCAGATTCCAGGTGTGTGCCACCATGCACAGCACAAACAGAGTTTCTACAACAGTTAACATGAAACTGAAGGATCTTATAAGACATCTCTTCAGTTGATGGCATTGAAGTTTTAAAAGCCAGAGCTGGGGTTGTTGTTCAGGGGTAGAGCACTTGCCTAGCTCCTGTGAGGCACTGGGTTCAATCCTTGGCACCATGTTAAAAAATAAATAAACAAACAAATAAAGTTAATAAATAAAAGAGAAGCTTGAAGAAAAAAAAAAGCCAGAAGCTAGGAACTTCCATTTTTAGAGGCTTTGATTCATGAGATTTTTTTTCTGTTAGCTTTTTAGTTATTTTAAATTAATAAATTTTATTAATTGGCTCAACCCTATGAGCTAATAATAAAAAAACTAATGACTTAAAAACTTACCTAACATGTATGTTGTATTATATTTAAAATGCCTCTCTCATTTAATCTTCACACAACTATGAAGCAGAATTTATTTTTCCTTAATAATCAGTTTGGAAATGAATAAAGGGAGCAGAAAGAGATTAACAACCCCAAGGCCACATGGCCAGCTGTTGCAGAGCTGGTTTATAGACTTAGGAGTGTCTAGATGCACACCACACTCTGAGGAGACACCCGTGAAGACTGGTCAAGTGTCCTGAGAACTGCCCCTACAGGTTGCAAGAGGGATTTGGAAGCCTAAGACCCAACCTACTCACCCCTCCATGGGGTGCAAGGCAATGGCCCGGGGCTTCTCAAGGTTCTGCCACAGTAGCACCTTTCTGTGGGCCCCATCCAGGTTGGCCACCTCGATCCTTGATGTCCCTGAGTCAGTCCAATAAAGTTTGTCATGGACCCAATCCACAGCCAGACCCCCTGGTGGAAAAAGTATAAAAGTTTCAGGGATTCTGCAGGGGCTCCTGTGTGCCTTAGTAACAAGAGAAACTAAAGCAGTTTCCGGGGCTAAGCACTACTGTAAGAATCTTGCATATGATAACTCATTTAATCATCACAAATCTATGAATTAGGTACTATGATTCCCATGAAGATGAGGAAACTGAGGCACAGAGAAGTCAAGGCACGGTGCAACGTCAATCACATGCCATTTGCTGAATTCTGGCTCCTGACCCACCCCCAGTTCTCCCTACTGGCATCAAGGTCGGGTTTGCAAATTGACACCTAAGGTTTTGTAGAGGCATTTCAGAAGTTCCCAAAGCATTTGAGTCAACTCTGCTCTTAACCAAATCCTTCCTTTCTTCCTTCTTTTCTTTCTTTCCATTTCTCCTTTGCAGTGCTAGAGATTGAACTCAGGGCCTTGTTGCATGGTAGGCAAGCGCTCTACCACTGAGCTACAGCCTGAGCCCCCAATACCAAATTCTAACTCACTTCACCTACTTAGTAGAATAGCCTGAGACTGCCAAGTAAGATGTTGCTGTTTTTTAAATCTATAAAACATTTGGTATACTTATCTGAACCAATCAGAATAATATTGATACTAAGCAATCAAAACAAAACTTACAAGTGAGCTGAAGCTGATAGAGAACTGTAACTGTCCGTAAGTCTCTAATTCCAGTTATGACATTCACCAAATGTTATATCTAAACCTATGAACTTATTATATATATATTAACAAATATTTTCTATGTCAGAGTTCTACCCAACACTTCACTGAGAGGAAGAGATGCTCAGCTGCAGAAGGTTTGCAAACACCATCCTGCCCCTTCTGTTATAGCTTTGCAGACAGTGTGGCCCTGTCCCTCTCTAGGGGGCCTTGTTGCCTACCTGGGCTTTCTAGTCCTGTAGACACAACCTCTTCCACGTTGCTGCCATTGAGGTTAGCTCGGAGGATCCGGTCCAGGGTGACATCGGACCAGAAGACAAGCTCGCGCCGGTGATGGAAGTCAAGGGCGATGGCATTCTCCAGGTTGTTGAGTAGCAGGGTGTACTCAGAGCGGTGTGGCAGCACCTGCCGGATGTCGATGCGATTGGCAAACAGCAGCACAGGCTCTGGCCCTGGGACACAGTATAGAAACAGAGTTGGGCTTCAGAGCTACCACATACTCATCAACATGTTCCCCCAAGTTCTCAACTGTCAGATGGGGCCCCTTGCCCACTAAAGCATGCCTCAAGCTGCTGGCGTCTATCCTAGAAGAGTGGAAACTTCTCCTACACCAATCTTTCCACCTCTCAGCAAATCCCTGAGCTCCAGAGCACTTGAAGTCTCAGTGTCTGTCTGTCTCTCTGTCTGTCTGTCTCTCTCTCTCTCATACTGGGAATTGAACCCAGGGGTGCTTTATCACCTAAGCTGTATCCCAGACCTTTTAATTTTTATTTTGAGGCAGGTCTCACTAAGTTTCTGAGACTGCCCTGGAACTTTCAGTCCTCCTGCCTCAGCCTCCCAAGTCATTGGGATTAAAGGTATGTGCCACTATGCCTGTCTACATGGCACTTCTCCATGCTCAGTCCCCCCATGCTCACCCAGCCAAATACAAACACCCCTTACCCAGAGCCTTGCAGCTACGCCGGTCGGGCCGTAGTTCATAGCCTGCTTCACACCAGCACTGGAAAGCTCCTTCACTGTTGGTGCATCCCTGGCTGCAGTACCCCTCCTCAGCACACTCATTCACATCTGCAAATGCCAGGCAGGGTCAGGAGGTCCCCTTCTGCCATCCTCCTGCCCCAATTCCCAGGCTGCCTAGCTGTTTTTTTTCCCCACATTCCCATCTACTTTCCAGGGAAAGCTGTGTAATAAGCCATTAAAGGCTTTGAGGCCATGCAAACCTGGGCTGGAATTCCACCTTTGCTATTCACTAGCTGTGCAGCCTTTGGTAAGTTACTTAATCTCTCTGAGATTCCATTTCCCCATCTGTGAAATGAGAGGGATGATCTCCACTTTCTAGGGTTATTGTGATAATAATATAAGGTCACATCCATCTAATGCCTGATCCTTAAAACAGGCTGTCTATCTGCTGTCCCTGCCCAGCATTCTGACTCTGTTCCACACCAGCTCACCATGGCACGTGCGCCCGTCCTCTGTGAGCCGGTAGCCTGTGTGGCAGGTACACTGCACTGCCCCCCGCACCATCTGGCACTTCTGGGAGCAGCCACCGTTGTTAACATTGCAGTTCTCCTCACCCGTCCGGGGCCCTGTGCCAGCCAAGCCAAAGTTGGGAGTTGAGCCCAGAATCCTCCCCCGGACGGCCAACTTGGCATTCCACCTGGACCATGAAGAACAGCTCCCAAAGTGCAAGAGTCCCTAGGGAGGATTCCCTTTGAACCTTATGGGTGGGGTTCAACCACAAACCACAGGCCAGGACCGCCCACCAGGGACACTCACGGCAGTTCTGCTGTGGGCTTTCGTCGCTGTTGTCACCACAGTCATTGACCCCATTACACAGCTTCCTCTGCCCAATGCAGCGCCCATTCCAACACAGGAACTGGTCGGAGGCACACTGAGGGCTTCCTGGAGAGAGAGGGGGGAGAAGGAGGGAGGAAGGGAGGGTCAGGGCTTAGGTCAACAAGGGATGGAAGCCTGTCATTTTCTAAGGTGAGCTAGAGACAGATGACATCAAGGAGGGAGGGTTGGGGTCCACGGCAGGAAACAGCTCAGACAAGACAGGCTGGATGTCTGCATTCCCACCCCCCAGGACACCACAGCGGATGAGGGATGTGGGACAGAATAATAAAATGCACACACATATGCAGTGCTAGATGTGGCAGGGGAGCGGGCGTCGGGGTGTCAGGGGAGAGCCGGTCCCCCTGCACTCGGCCAGGGTGGAAGGTACTGGCTGTGTGAGTTAGTACATGAGCGGCTGTAGTCAACGGTGCACCCAGAGGCGACACGGTCACTTGCAAGGGCAGGAAAACTCCAGGCCATGGGAAGGATCTGAATGAAGCATCATCTTGGCCTACCTGGAGAGCTGGAGTGACAGCCTTGACCCCCACCCCCTGCCACCATCTGTAGGTTAGGGGATCTGGGGCCCCCTGGGAGACTCCACCTGTGTTCTCGCAGTTCTCTTCATCGCTGTTGTCCGCACAGTCGTCCTCCCCATCACAGCGCCAGGACAGGCGGACGCAGCGGCCTGACCGACAGCGGAACTGTTCCGCTGTACACATGGAGGTGGCTGGGCGAAGCAAAGGCCTAATGAAAGGGTGGCCTCAAGCTTCACCCTTCCACTCACAGCTGAGCTGCACTTTCTATCAGTACCCATGTCACTCTTCTTGACACATGTGTCAAGAGGTGGTCTATGTGGCATCTTTGTGTGAATCAGAAAAAAAGGTGCCCCTTCCTCAAAGCATTTTACTGCTATAAAAGGGACATCTATTATGTGACTAACATCCCTTTGCCACTGTAGTGCACAACTTATACAACCCTACACGCCATCCAGTATGTCTTCAAACTTTATTGGTAATGCCCTCTATGATTCCACAACACTCCCCTCAGGCTTTGGAGCCATTTTTCCACTCACTGCAGTTGCGCTCATCAGACTGGTCATCACAGTCCGCGTCGCCATCACAGCGCCAGCCTGCATTGATGCACAGGCCACTGTCACACATGAACTCCCCAGAGCGGCAGGGCTGGTGGGAGGCTGGGGAAACAAACATCTTCTGTCTCTAGCTAGTCTGTGCACACAGTGTCCCAAGGTAGACCAGAAAGCCCAACTCCTGCCCCTCCCAGCACCCCAGTCCTCTAACTCTGCCCTAGAGACCAGAGAATCCAGAAACTCCTGTCCTGAGCACCTGCCCCCACTGGCACCTGTGCCTTGCCCCTGGAGGAGTTCCTTCCAGCCTGGCCTCCCCTCCTCCCCACTGGCCAGAGCACTCACAGCAGTCAGACTCGTCTGACCAGTCCCCGCAGTCATCATCGCCGTCACAGTGGTAGATATCCAGGATGCAGCGGCCGTAGGCACACTGGAACTCCTCCAGGTTGCAGGGGGGCGCTGGCACTGCTGAGGCTGGAAGGAGGGCAGGGAGCGGGGGCAAACACTCAGGCTCTCACGGATGAGAAGGATCCCTACCCCTCAAAAGGCAAGGTGCTCAGGCAGAGTGACTTCCTGAGTGAGATACGACCGGGGTTCATTTGGGATGACCCTGGCAGACTGCCATATTCAGGTGGACCACCTGGCGCATCTGCACCTCCCCAGGTAAGCCCAGGAGCTGATTCCTGAGCATCCCCCACCTGCCCACTGCAGCGCACTCCTCGGCCTGCCCTGAGACCTGGGGATGGAGCCTTCTCCCTCGCCCAGCCCAGTGGCCTTAAGTCTGGGGCCACTCACGACAGCTTTCCTCGTCCGAGCCATCTTTGCAATCCGTGTCACCATCACAGTACCAGTGCTCGGCAATGCAGCTCCCATCACTGCAGCGGAATTCCTTGTCGGAGCACTTGCGCATGTCTGGGGAATGCAAGGGGACGGTCATGCCAACAGACAGAGTCCCACAGGCACCCCTCTTACCATCCTCCCTGACCCCCAAATCTCGCTGGCCCTAGAGGAGGGTGTCTGATGAAGCCCCTGGAAGAACCCACAGATTCAGTGCAGACTCTGGAGGACATCAAGGCCAGGAGAGCCTGGCCTCAGGTTCCTGGGCCACGATTCCTGGGAGCCTGGACTCTTCCCCCCTCCTGCATTCCTCCAAGATCCCTGCAGCAGTATTGGGGCCTTTGCTGCTATCTCCTCCCTCGGTCAGACTCCTCTCCAGCCCCCCAACCCTGCCTGCTTCCCTAGAGAGCCCACCACTCACCACACTGCTCATCGCTGTTGTCACCACAGTCATTGTCACCATCGCAGTGCCACAGGCTCCGGATACAGTAGCCATTCTGGCAGGGGAACTCATCCTCCTCACACTCTCGGGGGGCTGTGGACACAGAGCAGTCAGGCTGCTGCAGGCAGTGGGGTGAGGTGCCTGGGGTTGCCCCTGGGGCTCAGGAGGAGGTGGCCGGCCTCTCAGGGGCTTATCTGACCAAGAGAAGGAGGTCAAAGGACGGGACAAACTGCTGAAAACCCAAGAGTTCATGTGGGCCTGGGGCATTGTTTTCTGATTAAAAATCCTTTCCCAACAGAGCCCGGTGGAGTCTGGTCCCCTCCAACACTCACGACAGTCCTGTTCATCCGAGTCATCCTCACAGTCATTGTCCCCATCGCACACCCAGGAGCGGCGGATGCACTTGCCATTGTCACAGTGGAAATCCAAAGGGGAACAGGTGGGCAGCACTGAGTCCCAGAAGAATGGAAAAGTGAGTCAGGCAGGCTAAAATGAGCCAGAAATCCTTTCCCAATACCCTTGTTCCAAATCCCCTGTCCTGTAGCCCTGCCCTGTGGACTCCCACGCCTGCCTCTAACTGATGGGGAAGCGAAGCAGCTGGGAAGACAGAGTAGCATGATGAGAGACCCACAGGGTAGAAGCAGAAGAACCCAGAGAACTCAAAGCCACTAAGAAAGCAGCAAGAAAAACATGGCAAGTCTTTTACCCTTATGAAATGATGATTGACACATCTGGGCTCAATTTCCAGTTCTAGAGCTCATTATTTATAACACTGAGCAGGTCATTTACCTTCTCTGAGCTGTAGTTTCTTCGACGGTACAATGGGGATAATTACACCCAGCTCATAGAGGTCTTTTGAGATAATGCATATGAAAGTGCTCTATGAAAGTGAAGCATTTATCATTACCACAATTAGCTAAAATGGCTAGGGTTAATGATGTCTAGGTTGTAGGCTCATTCTCATTAGGCCAATTAGCCACCCCCAGACATAGAGGCTGCAGGTCAGAGATTTTATTCCTGAACCCAGAAAACTGGCTTAGCAGTGATATTTTTATATATCCAAGACAGGACACCCTGGCCATCGTCCATATGTTACTATGCCAGGGGAAAAGGGAAATTTAAATAGAGGATAAGATTTCTTATGTTATTTTTAAAAAGGTGTGACTATACAGAGCACCAGAACAAGAAATAACCCACATCCATGTATAACGTGTACCTTTTTAAAAAAATATTGTTTTAGATGTTGATGGACCTTTGTTTTATTCATTTACTTATATGCAGTGCTGAGAATTGAACCCAGTGCCTCCCACATGCTAGACAAGTACTCTACCACTGAGCCAAAACCCCAGCCCAGTACATAAATTTTTAAATGCACAAATTTGCAGAACACATATACAAATCATATAAATATAGTGAGATATATTTAAAGAGACTACTTATGGTTTCAAGAACATTTTCTTGTATACTGGTTTCAGGTTTGTTTTATTGAGCATATAGGCATGAACTACCCAAATATGGGACAACTGGAGGCATATATATTGTGAAGAAACGTCTGCTCGGTCGATACCTGTCACTCTAGCAAGAGTCTACCTCTCCTGGTCCAAAGCAGTAGATGCATTGAACACTCGTCAGCCTTGTCCTTGGTCCCACTCCCAGGTCCCTTTTCCACCACCTCCAACCACAGCAGGGCAGTACTTACTACATCCATCCTCATCGCTGTGGTCCCCACAGTCATTGTCTCCATCACATTGCCACTGGGCAGGAATGCAGGTGCACTCGCCTAGGGCACTCACTGCACAGGTAAAGTGGCTTCTACCACAAGCACATTCAGGGCTGCTGGCCAGACCTGGGCAGAGGAGAAAGAGGGGGACTCGGTGCCTGCTCTTCAAAGCCTATGGCTGGTCACTATCACCCAGGGAGCCACGGTGACACTGCAAAGGAGATGCAAAGGATCTGATTGTGCCTCCCACCCCCATCCAGGGGTTAAATGGTCCAAAAGACACCCTCTGGTTTGGGGCTCACAGACAGCCCAGGTGACCAGGTCCATGACAGGGCTTTTTCGCACAGCACCTCCAGAGGCCCAGAGACAAATGGTGCTACCTAGAGGTTGACGTTCTTGGAAAAAGCAAGGCTGAGAACAGACAGGTGAAGTTGATAGGTCTCTGTATGCCTCTTCAAAACTAGATTATGAATGCTTTTGCCTCTATCCAAGAATAGACCCTGGCACGCTGACCAGGGAGGGTGAGAATAATAGTGGAGTTTAAATAGTGGCGCCTCATTAGGTTAAAGAAGTCACAGAGGGAGCAGGAAGCAGCCGGCCAGTCCCACGGTCAGAACTTGCTCTTTTTTTGTTGTTAGTAGACATATTCATTACATTTATTGTAATAACTACTCCATCGTAGGATTGACTTGAATCTATTTGAACAAAAGATTATCTGAAAGCAAAGCTCACTAAGTTTGGGTAAAGAAAGCAAACATTCCCAGTCATTTTTTGCATGAATATAGATGACATTTTAACACAGACCCACAGTCACACATTATGAGAGAGTAAATTTTACTCATAGTACAGAGTCTCTTCGTGTAAGATCATAAAAATACAATGCAGTGTAAGCCCAGGTTAAAAATTAAATGCAGCAGCTGGTATCAACACGCACACATGGCTTCTAAATGAATCTGGTGTCTGCTAAGACTCATTATGGGGGATAATCAGGTGTAAGGAACTAGAACAGACTGAAACAGGAAACACAACCATGCCCAACAGTCACACAAGGTCAAATGATCATCTCCATGACCAAAAGAACCCACATGAAACCCTCAGCCAGCCCAGGGAGGCAGTCAGCATCCTGTGCTCAAGCAGGTTCCCAGTCAGTGGCAGGAGATATTTCTGCACCCAACAGAAGTCATGGAAGGCATGGGGAGTCTGCTTTCAAGGGACACTGGACACTTCTAAAGGAAAGTCTGGCATTCAACTCTCAAAAATGAAATAAAAATTAAGCAGAACCTACTGAAGGATACATGTGAAGTGATTATAGTGTAACCTTCACTTCCCAGTGGGTATAATTTAAAGACTCAAAATTTTAAGAGCACTCCAAAATTATGCTACAGAAAAGCAATCCTAAAACAACTTGGCTTCAGTGAGAATTCCAATGGCTCGCACTGAGAGCCTGCAGCAACCTGGAGATGGCCTGAAATAGGCAGGGCTCATGGACTGAAGAGCCCCACTGCCCTTTGACCCTGGTATCCAATTCTTCTAGAACACTTCCAGTAGGAAAGGCAAAGGAGAGTTTTTAGTGAGACCAAGTAAAGATGAGGGCTATCCTTTTATCATCGTCAAGGCATTTAAGGTCTTTCCTTTTAATAGTCATATTTTAGTTGTTTAAGGTGACAATTTCCCTCTACAAAGTTACTAAATCAATACCTCTGGAAGAAACAGATCCCCATAAGTTCAAAAGACGTGCCCTCCCAGGATCATCCAGTGAAAGGTGACTTTGGGAAGCAGTCTGTCAGTTATGACTGGGACCCACATTATCAAGGCACTGCAGAATTTGGGGGGAATTCTTTTGCTCATATTAATAGGCAACTGTAAAACTGGATCCTCAGAAAGTATTTATGGAAATAGATATTCTCTTTAGCAAAAGAAAAAACCCTCATGCCTGGCAGATTGTAAAGGTTCTTTCAAGCAGCAGAGAAATCCCCACACCAGTAACTCTAGCTAAGGAGTCCAGCAGGTGCCAGGCGCAGGTGGTCAGACCTTAGTTTTGAGGAGGGTGACCAAGAGAAGAGGGGACTGAGGCAGAGAAGACCTGGCCACCTCAGGGCAGAGTAACTCAACCCAATCAGGGCCATGGCCTAGAGGAAGGCCGGCAGACACAGCCCCTCCCCCAGCCTCAGCAGCACGCAGCTGGGTTTCCCTATTGAGCATCAAGCTATCTGCCTGGCCAAGTCCCATGACCGGCTACTGTGCCCCCTCCCCAGCGTACCCAGCAGGATGCCCTGGGATGGCGTGTGAATGGCTCAGTGCCCCTGCTCCAGCCTCAGCTGGAACAAAGGGTTCTGCCAGGGTCACTTCCCCCCTCCCAGCATTCATCTAGCCCGATGGCTGGGCTGCTTGCAGCTGGGGAAGGAGGGGGCCAGGCTCCTTGCTCATCTCTCCCCCTAGCTTTCTTCTCCTCTTCCTCCCCTTGACTAGGCCCTGCCCTCAGGCTGGGCTGGAACTGGGAAGGAGTCAGCTCCCAATCGCCACTCCTCTCCTTACTCTTCACCTGACCCAGCTTCACTTTCTTGATGCTCACCCTCACTCCCCATAACAATTACTTGGCCTGACCTAGGGATTAAGACCCAGAATGAAAGGGTAAACTACCAAGCCCTCCAAAAGCTAGGAGAGAGTCCTGGACCCATCTCTCTCCACTTCAACCCCCAGGGTAAGTGTGAGCACAAGGCACACACTCCTAATCTGAGATGGATGAATGAACAAATTGGTGGATGGATGGATGGACATACAGACGGACAACCTTTGACACCTATGAACCTCTAAAGCTATCGGCAAAATGTACGTTTCTGGGGTAAGGGACCACAGATTTCTACCAGATTCTCAACTGAGGTGTGGCCCTCCCCCTCCTCATACTAAGGGAACCAGCTGTCTTAGAAAAGATGAAGGATTTCCTGCAGAAGGCAAGGGAGTCCATCTGGGAGTGCAGAATCTCCCCACACCTCACAAGAGGGCCTCATTGCAAGCCCAGAGCTCCCGTCTCTCTGGCTCTCTCTGCAAGTGCAGGCCAGAGGATTCTTCCCCAGGGAAGCATCGAAGACTCAGCTGCCCCAGCCCCATGCTTTCTGGACTGTTCTGAGCGCTGAGAAGAGAGGTAAAGCTTCTCTCATTCAGAGCCTGAGGAACACTGGCTCATTGCAGTACAGGCCCCCTTTAAGGAACCATGGCTGGATTAAACAGCAAAGAATAACTTCATGCAATGAGGCTCTGACACAGAGATCCCCTTGATAGGGAGGCCTGGTGAAGAGGTTTAAGGCTTCATCAGTGGGTCTCAGCTAGGGATGATTCTGCCCCTCAGGGGATATTTGGCAATGCACAGAGACATTTTGGTTGTCATGAGGGTGATGCTACTGGCATTTAGTAGGCAGAAGTCAGGGATACTGCCAAACATTCTCCAGTGCACAGGACTGCCCCTGCTCCCCAATTATATGGTCCCAAATGTCAACAGAGGTTAAGAAACACTGCTAGCCAACACAGCAGGGAATGAGGACACACCAGAGGGGATAAAAGGGGTAACAAGAACAGGAAGGAAGAGGGGACAGAGGGGAAAACACTGGATCCCAGCAGACAGAACTGGGTTCCATCGATTAGTTGGATGGCTTGTGCAAGTCACTTAGCTCCTTAAGCCTCAATGTCCTTATTTGTACAAAAAATAAAAAAATAATAATAATAAAAACAAAACAAAACCCAGTGCCACCAGGATTGTCAAGAAAATGAAGATGGAAGAACACTGAAGATGCTCAAACAGCGGAGACTGGGTGTGTGGGATACGAGGCCCGCATATTCTCCAAAGGCCTCGATTTTAAGACTCCAAGTACCAGGACCAGGACGGGAGGACGGGCAGCATCCTGGTGTGCATGCCAGGGAGAAGTGCAGAGGTCAGGGGAGTCTCAGCTCCTACGCCTGAGGGCCCCACCCCCACCTCTGGCTGAGTGATAACAGAAGTCCTGATTTCCCGGCAGATTTCAAGAACAAAGCATTCCATCGGGTGGGCATCGAGTTAGTTGCAGGTGGCTGAGAGTCACAACTTCCTGCATGTCAGAGCAACATCTGAAGTCAGCGCTGTGGTGAAGGTCAGGCAGCCAGCAGCCGGAGCCCCCGACTTGGGCATTCATACAGGAAGCAGACACATTAGACGCCAAAAGGCCAGCTTTTTTGGACAACTGCTGCCCTTCTGGGATGCCCAGAGGTGGAATTCTGCCTTTTCAGTCAAGTCCTGGCTGTGATCCGAAAGGGCAGCTTTTAACCCTTTTTAGGTAAAAGACTGGAGAGTGAAGAAAGGGAACAAATGGCTGTGGATGGCAAAGGCAGCCTCCGTGTTAAGAAGTATTGAATTAGAATAGTCAGCTCTGCTTCTGCCCTTGAAAGCTGTTTGCCAGCCACATTGCAAGCTCCCTGGCCCCCAGGGGCTTGGCAGTAGCCCTTCTCCTAATGCAATCCAACAAGAAAAAGGGTTCCTGATCTCTGATCAAGTCATTAATGTTTGGGATATATGTTAACTGCTCACTGGATCTTCTTAAGAGGTTAACCAAAACCTCACTATTTACATCTCATCTTCCTCAGCCCAGTCACCTTAGCAATTTCTCAATGCTTTCTTTTGAATTAGAGAAGGGAAATACCCATCGAGTATATTATTAGACTCAATGTAACATGATAGCACCACTAATTCTACATATTTAAACAAATTAGTCAATATCTCCAAGACTCAGTTCACTCACCCATAAAATGGGTAGAAGAACAATTTTACTTCAAAGGGTTGGGGAAAACTCTAGTTAAATAATCCCATGTAAACTGCTTAGCACAAGGCTTTCACACAGCAAAAGCTTCATAATAATAAAACCATTGTTTGCTTAATATTTACTAGGTGCTGTCCAAGTACATCTCTAAGTGCTTTTCATCTGCTACATCACTGAATGGTCTCCACAACCCCTGGAGATGGCATGATTATTATTATCACCACTTTATAGCAAAGGACAAGAAGCAGAAAGGTTGAGTTTGTAGATAGGTCATAGGGATATTAAGGGTTGGGGCCAGCACTTACTCCCAGGAAGGAGATTATACTGCCTCCTAATAAGTGA